GGTTTTCAATTTCTTAGGTTCTCTCGGGAGCTCGTTCACAGCGCGGCCATCACGATGACGTTCAAACCGGAAGCCTTCCTGGTTTGTTTTTAATAAATGTGTTATTTTATTTTTGTTGGAAAAGTTTAAAATGTTTTACTTTAATGCAAAAATAGTGACAAAAGTAATTATAAATTGTGACGTGCGTCACTGGATCTCAGTTTTATACTTAGATGCTCAGTCTACCATGTTTACAAAATGCAAAATGTTTCATAATATTTAAACCCCTTAGTAGCAGCTTTGAAGAAACCCATCATAATAAGTCTGTTAGGCATAACTGTACTGGGGACTGCACTTGGATCTAATAATGCAAATATTGAGGATTTGTGAACACACCTAAGGTCAATAGGTCAAGGGGTTTATTTGAGTCCCTGTGTGTATTTTTCAAGTCTGTTAATAATCAGAAAATATGCTCAGCAAATCTTTTTAAAAGAAAACCAGAGCATTTTGGGAAAATGATCAAAGTCACAATTTTAATTATGACTTGACTAATTGTACTTTGTTTGTCTAGGCCAAAGAGGAGCTGAGCGGCTCCAGCTATAGCGACTATCTGGTGTTCAGTCGAGCGATTCTGGGCTGGAGGAAAGTCCAGCATGAGGGGGCCAGAGGGGAAAGAGATGACTATCTGGACAAATACACTCTGTCTAGAGGCAGTCTCCGATTTATCAATGGTTTGTCTGAGCCACTCGCATTCAGATTAGTCTTTTCCAGAAATTTGGAGTAAAGTTTCGCTTTGACATAAATCCTGCTCTTGCTTCATCCCGTGGCAGGTCTCATCTCCCAGTTCAGTGACAACCTGCAGGAAGCGCAGCTGGTTTCCCGTGCCAGTGAGTGCCAGCGGCAGACGTCTATCTACAATGAGCACAGCAACCAGGACGAGCTGCTGAAGGCCGTACTGCTGGCTGGGTTGTATCCCAACCTCGTTCAGGTATACGATGCTGCATACTGGCTTTTGTTAGTGCTTCTATGCAACTGCAATAAGAAAAACCCAATTGGAAAAATGTTGGGTTTGATTCCAGCTCCATCAAATATCAGTGTGCTTTTGTCACAGAGCACTAAATGCCATGTTGCCTAGCAATCTGTGTGAAAGTGTAAAATAACTTACGAGGTTGGTTTTGAAAAAGCAACAAGCAGGTTTAGTCCATTTCACTTTCATACTGTGCATGGCTAAAGATTTCCAAGAAAAAAATATTTAAATGATAGACTATTCTGCTCTCGATGAACATTATGTAGCTTACATTCTGGCTCAACCTAATATCACTGCCCTTTTTTTTCTTTTTCTTTTTTTTTTTTTTTTCTGAAGGTAAAGAAAGGCATTGTTACCAAAGGGGGGCGCTTTCGTCCCAATAATCTCGCTCTGCGCTCGCTCAGCGGTCCGGTGCTGCTTCACCGCTCCTCAGTGAACAGGTTTGATCATGTCCAGACCTTTTCCCCAACAGAATGACACCGAGTGGGATAATGGTCATGTTCACTTTGTCTCCCTTTCCGTTGCAGAGGCAAAGAGGACCTCCCCAGTCGGTGGCTGACCTTTTTCAGTGCGGTCAAGTCTAACGGGAATGTTTTCATCAGGGACTCTTCTGCAGTTCACCCCCTTGCCCTGCTGCTGCTCACTGACTGTGACATTTCAGAGACAGGTAATGTGTTTGTCGCGGTGCATGCAGGAAGCACGAGCATTTGGAGGCGACTGTTGCAATCGTTTTTCTCCTTAATACATTTTAGACTTGAAGACTTTTTTGTCAAAGGGTGTGTGTTATTTGGAAAATTACACCTACATGCCATTTCCTTAAACTCTTGTCCAAGCGTGGCAAAATTGTTGGAATGAAATCTCCCTTAATCATTCTTTTGAAAGCTCACATAAAATGTATCGTCATGCCAACAGAACCAATCTTATGGAACTTCTCTGCCTCTGCTGTTGTAAATTGAATCTTTTCTACATGTTCTCTGCAAACTCAACTCTTCTATTAATTTCGCCTTTGCAACTCCATTAAAAACTTCAGCTGTTCACCTTAAATTTCTTCTAAGGTTTCTGCTCTTCTATTCTGTCTTCAACTAGCTTACCAAGGTTACAGCATTTTCACAGGAAATGCAATTTTTCTGGTTGTGTTTTAAAGATGGCTGACATCCACTGATTAAAAATGTTTCCTCACCTTCTAAAATTGGCAAGAACTTTTAAACAAATCTGTTTGCAAGTCACACATACAGGTGTGTCTCAATACATTAGATTCGCAAAAGTCAAATTTGCAAAAAGATGCACATATTGATTAACAGATTATCTCCATGCCTTCATTTCTTATGATTTTCTACTGACCGCTTATGAAATGGCAACATTTAGAACTTCTAATAGAGAAACGTTGGTTTAATGAAATGCATTTAATACCTGCTTTTAAAGGTTGTTTTTTAAAAGGTACTTTTTAAACATAACAAATGAGGCTTACCAGAATATGTATTCTAATTTAATAAATGTTTTTTCGTAGGTATCAAAAACGGTGATCTTGTTTCATACTTGAACTAAAGTTTTCATCTTTTTTTCCCCCTGCTGTTTCAGTAAACGGCGACATGGTGGAGGTATCTTTTCCTGGCCGCTCTCTGGTGCGCTGCGAGGTCCCACTTCAGACATGGGATCTTCTCTGGGATCTTCGCACCTCCATTCAGACCATGCTCTACCGCAACTTCAACAATCCCAGCAACGCTAACGTTTCTCAAGATGGAAGCCTCATATCCTTACTTGTAGAGCTGCTGAACAACACGGAGTCAAACCCTTTTGTCGAGGTGTCTGGCACAGAAAGTGAAGTAGATTAAAAACTATATATTTTCTGCATGTGAGGTTTGACTCCATGGCGAATTTCGAAATCATGAAGCATTTTTTATTTCGGAAGCACTTTTGTGAAAATGATTGCAACAAATTCAAATCCCATGGAAATTGTGTGCTACTTTTTCTTTGTAAATGCATAACGCCATCACTCCTATCCATACAATGATAGGAAAAAACAGTTTTGACCTTTTTCATTGTATACTAAATGCTTCATTGCTTTCTAAAGGAAGTAGGGTATGATTTTACTCTGAGTAAGGACGGGTCATTAAAATTGTGAACATTGTCAGATTTATTAAAACGATACAATTTCCTGCCATGAAATTTGTCATGAGTTTTGTTATTTTTACTGACTGCAAGATCAGAAGAGACTTTTTTTTGGTTTTCATGAAAACTCCTTCATAAACTGTTCGTGAAAGGCGCTCAAACGTCTCAGTATTTCTTCCATGGTGTCTGTGGGGGTCATGATGCAAAATCTGCAAAGACAAGTGCGAGTGTTGAATACCTGTGCTGTGTGAAGTTAGCCTGTTTAAATGAACATAAAATGATTAATTATTTTGTCAAACGTTTAAGAATTTGAGTCTCACCTGATGTGGTAGGTGCCCTCCTTTTGTCCATACTCAGTCCCAGGACTAAACAACACTCCGGCCTCCTCCAGAAGTCTCAAGCAGTAAAATGTGTCTGGTTGCAGTCCAGCCTCCTGAAACATCCGAATAAATCCGCTCTCATAACCAAAACGCACAAGAACCTTTGGCAGTACATTACGAGTTGCATCATATTGCTCGATGTGCATTTATTCTGAAACCTTGGCTCTCTCAATGGCTTTGGGTGGAAGAAACACTCTTGGGAATGCAAATGCTCCTCCTTCCAGTGGTTGGCAGCTAAAATCTGGGAAGCTGTTGATGACTTCTTCCACCCTCCTCACGTTTTGAGCTAACGAGGCCCTGATGTGCTGCGTCTCCTGCACAACGAAGATCATCCCGACAGCTCAAATTGTTTGTACCCCCAGTCGTTACGGTAAATAAAAATGTCTCACCTTCAAATAGAGAGGGTATGAGGGGTCTCCTGGTTGTGGAGGATTCACCATCACATCCAGAGCAATCTGTCCCAAAATGGGACAGGAGTTGGTGGAGAATAGATTGTTGATGTGCTTCATTACAGCAGGGTCAAGGTTCACAAGCTCAACGTAGCCAGTACGCAGACCGCACCTAATACAACAGACTTATATGAAGTGCTTAAAAAAATCACAGTTCAATCATTCTCTACCACTTAGTTTTTCCATATGACCTGCAAAACATGTAATGATATATTGAATATGTAACTTAAAAGACTGGTATTCTCACCTTCTGAATGTTTGCATATTCACACAAGATGTCTTATTGTGAATATGCCAACATTACACTTCTGTCATAAAGCAACGCATTCCTGGTTGTTTTTTAATTAAAGTGAAAATCTCAAGTCCTTTACTCCACATATATGCTTTGCAGATCTATACATTTTGTTCTAGCTATTCATTTGTTCGGCTTGTTTGCGTAAGATTGATTTGCAACATTTTTCCAAGAGTTTCTGAATGTCAAGTCAGTGGAATAACTTATTAACAGAGATGTATTTTCTTTAAAACAACCTTGGATTTAGGATTAAAGTGGGCTTAGAGTGGCCAATCACATATAGCATCAAGTGGGGCAGTTCAGCCACTTTCCATATTTGGAGCGAGATTCATCTGGGCAGAGTGAACTTGTGTCTCACTCCAAGAGAGTAAACGTTTGTAACTCGTCATAAAAAGAGGAAATGCAAGTTGAACGTTTTTTTTTTTTAAGTTTTTATTTTCTTTATATTCTTGACCCACTTACTACTACTTCTATAAAGGTAATACTTACACTAATACATATATGCTTCAGTACTTTCATTTCTCTGAAGTTGAGCTTTTGTGTTGGGTAAAAAGACACGTGTCAGACAGTGTGATTGAATACTCACTCTCCCATGAGGCCTTTCGAGGCCGTGTGGAAGGATGCTAATTCCACTGAGTCTGACAGAGGAGCCCCAATCTCAGCCAGAGCTCTTTTATAAGAGACAAACTCACTTTCCTTCCCATAAACACAGTCCTGGTACACCTGAGGAGGATGAAGTTGCGTTATACAGGTCCAGTGTTTGAATATTTTGTAAAATTCTTGATTCACTAACCTCATCGGCTAGAAGAAAAAGCTTCTTCTCTGCAGCAAAACGGATCACCTCTTGAATGGATTTTCTGCTTTGAACATAACCTGCAGGCATGAAAAAAAAAAAAAATCTTATTCCAGTGACAGGACACACAAATCATATTGATACTGCCTAGATTTTGCTACCAGCTGGGTTTCCAGGGTTGATCATATACAGAGCAACCGGGTTGCAAACTCCCTTTGCAGAGTCCAGAGCTCGCTGCAGCTCCTCCATCTCCAGCGCCCAACCCCGCTCCTCTCTGAGGTAGTAGGGAACCGCCACCGCTCCCAGCGTCGTTAGGGATATGATAGTGGTGGAGTGGCACGGCACTGGGATCAGCACTCCAGTTCTGGGTGAGGCCTCGGAATTCACCAAGACCTTTAAAATGTTCTGAAGAGCCCAGTAGGTGACACGCTGTGCTAACCAGGTAACCAACAGAAGGAAGATGCAGAATGAACTGTGTCGGTGTGTTTACCGTGAGTGCCCACTGTGAGCCAGGGCTGATGTAAATGTTTTCAGGGTGACATGGAACCCCTCCATCCCGTCTCATAATGTATTGGGAGATGCTCTGAAGTATTTGTGGTATTCCTGCTGTGGCACAGTAAGAACCTGGAGACGTGACAGAAGTTCTTTCAAATTCACAGAAATCAGATTAAAACATTTTTTGAGATTATTTTTGGTGGCGATATGGAAGCTTACTTCTTTTCTGTTATGTTTCTGTCATAAGGCTGACCCAATATTTGTACCCTCCACAATTATTATCATTACTGGCAACTTTAACCACATACTATCTCCTCAAATGAGAAGCACAATTTACTTTCTCCATCCATGATTTTACCTCCAAATATAGTGAATCTCATACTGGACAAATGCAAAAGTCTTACCTACACTCCCTCCTGCACATGTTCCCAGCAGCCGCTGAGCCCTCTGCTTGACATCTACCATCAGCTTGTCTCCATCCATAAGCTCAGGGTAGAGACAAGCTGCAAGAACCTACAGGAGAGGACAGCTAACAGTTATTTGGACAAAACAAGGAAATAAGTGTAAACCTTGGTTGTAAGTTGTCTCATACCTGTCTTACAAAAGAAAGAGGTTTCACACCTGCCCTGTGTGGGTCACCCCAGGAGACATCAATCACCTCTCTGTAGGACTTTCTTACTCCCTGTGAATTGAGACATAAAATAAATAAATAAATAAAACAGAAAGACAGTTAATATTTTTAATTGTTTTTTCCATTTACGTATCGCAAATGTATAGTGTCTACGTTTTACCCGTCTGAGCTCCTCCTTGATCTCGTTGGTTCGCCTGAACAAGACGAAGTTCTCCATCTGTTTCATATTTCTTACATCGGAGCTGATCTCCTGCAGGACAGACATATCTGTGATTTTTTTTTCCTCTCTGACCAGAGATGCTGACCAATGCAGTCTGAGCAGGACGGCTCCTGATGTCCTGAGCAGCTCAATGGAAGTGAAACCAGTTTTCTTGTTAAAGATACATGATAAAATGTAGCAATAGGTGTTAGATTAACATGGTGATGTGCTTTTAGGTGTGGCTGTTTTGACTTATTCCTTTATTAGATAATCTACAAAAACATCAGCTGTTGTGAGCAGCCTTCTTTTCCTTTGTTATTTTTTAACTTTGGTTTCTGATCTGGAACGACAAGACTAATCAGTAATGTATTTTCAATCAGATCTGTTTATCTGATTGTTCAATATTTCCTAATGTAAATATGGAAAGCTACATTTCACAACTTTAAAAACGGAATGAGGATATGCTGAATTTCTGCACTTTAATGCCTGACCTTAAGCAGTTAAAGGAGCATTCCACTCTTTTAATCAGTTATAGCATTTACTTAAACATAACAGCATTGGAAAGATATTTTAAATTAGTCATATACAAAAAATTAACTCATGACCCATTTCATAAGTAAAACATTATGTGTCTGTAAATTATATAGTGGTGGTCAGAAGGCTTGATGGGGAAGGTGCAGTCAGACTGCTTCAGGGCAGCTGAAGATGTCTGAGACCACCATCAGTGTGTGAATGTGTTTGTGGATGGGTAAATGATTGAATGCAGTGTGAAATACTTTGGGGTCATTTGCTCTAGATAAAACGCTGCACAAGAACAGGCCATTTACCACGTTGGACAAAACCATTGTGGTGTAAATAAGCAATTAAAAAATACAGAATTAAATTACACACCGACAGTTAACACTCCTTTATAAACGTAGCAATACAAAGACTATAACTTGCATGTCTGAAAACGTTTACACAGACAGACATAAATGTATAAGTTAATTACAGCACGACAAATTAAAATATATATATATAAAAAAGAGTTAAATTATGTCAGAAATTTGATGTGAAACTAGTTTTGGATATAGGTTCAATAAGAGCAATTTATTTCAAGCACGACATGTTTCTGTCTATTTTTGATTAAACTCAATAAAATATATGTTTTAAATGTAAATACTATCCAAGTTTCCTAAAATTCATTATAAAGTGATGGCTATGGACAGGAACACTCTCCTGTTGCTCAAATGAAGACTGAAATCACTCTGCTGTTGTATTACACAGTTATATGAAGAAGATGCTCAGGATTCTGTAATGCTCTTTATTTTATATAATTTTCAGATTGGCGATTTTGTTTCTCCCCGGACGTAAATAACAGACGTGCTGTTCTTCTTCCTGTTTTGTTTTTCTTTCGCTCCCCATCTGCTCGGTTCGATAGAAATGGAAGAATGTGCAAGGCAGACACACAACCACAGTCTACCCGTGAACATACCACGTCTCTTTAAACCGGGCCGAACCGTGTAGACCCTACAGCAGAAGCAGGCAGAAGCAAAGACCCTTCCTCCGGTCCCAGTGTCCGAAACATGGCACTTAGCTCGGGCAGCTGGGCTCTCCCAGCCCCGGTGCCTGCCTCGTCCCAGCAGCCTGCGTGCAGCGGCCCCAGCCCGGCTGCATGCTGCAGCACTGTCCTGATGTCAGTCCGCGTCTCGGTGTCCCACTCCGGGATCAGACCCCTGTGCCTACCTGGAGCGGGCAGCGACTCTCTGCGGCTGCAGCTCAGCATGGACCCGAACCTGGCCGGAGAGTTCCGCCTGGCATTGCGAGATACGAGCGGAAACCGCAGTGTGGTGAGGTTCCATCCGCATATTCGTTTGTTTACCTGCAGAGCTGCTGTTAAACGCTCAGATGTTGAGGAAGCACCCATGTTCCTACATCCCTCATAGCAATGTTGGCCTGGACAGTGTAGGCCATCTTTGAGCAGTTCAGAAGCGGATTCGATATTTGACCTGCTTTCACAACTATACTACTAAAGTTACATTCAGAATTATGAAATCATACTAATTTTAGATAGTGAATATGCGGGCTGAGCTGTATGCTACCCACCACATTTTGAGATGTTGTATAGTAACTCTAAATCACTGCATTTTCTTTTGAGCCCTTCTGGAACCTACCCTTCAATTACTAACATACATCAATACAGTCAGACGTGTGTTTCGAATTACTGCTGCCAACTATTAAATGTGCCGCTCTCCTGCTTTCATTACCAGAAAGTTCTCTTACATTAGTTCTTTTGTTTCTTTTTGGTGTATCTGCTCTGTCTTCTTTAAGCCTCGGTCGGTCCTGGCAGATGGCCTCTCATACTGAACCAACTTCTACTGCAGGTTTCCTCCTGTTAACGGGGAATTTTCCTCTCCACTGTCGCTCCATGCATGCTCGGTGTGAGGGATTATTGCGAACGTAACCACACAATGCAAGCAAATCAACGACTCGTCGTAATCTGCTGGATTTCTTTTGACAGAAAACTTTTAAAACTAATTTGAATAATAAACTAAGCTTAATGAAGTATTCTATAACCAAGATCAACTAAAAAGTATGTGCAATTTAGTTGAAGTGACTTAATAAAGTGCCCTGAAAATACATTTGTTATGAAATGGTGCTATATAAATAAACCTAATTGAATTGAAAATTGAATTCTGCTTTCCAGGTTTTGGTATTTGTGCATCGCTGACCCCAGATAGCTTCAGTCAGACAAATTTGGCTTTCTCTGGACACATAGGGAAAGTGTCAGGCCTATTTCAGCCAGCTGATTGGTAGTTATATTGCATCCAGAAAAACGTTGGGTCACTTTTACACTTTTTCTCATTAAAAGGACTTTAAATCACAGAATCTGCATGTTAACTTTTTGAAAAAATAATTAAGACAGAAAGTCTCAAAATTTGATTAAAAAACTAAACAAACAGTTTGGAGCACACTGGGAGAAATATTAAGATACTGTGGAGTCCCTGAGTTGCCGTCAGAGTAGAAATCTTTCAGTGTAGCTCTAAACAAACTGTGTACAAAGAAAGGTAGCTCCACCTTTTCCATCTCTTCAGGGACTTAATGATTCACTTTCTGGCTATAATGTTTATAATGTCTTTGAATAAGATCCTTTTGCGAACAGAAAAAAAGATCTCAAGATTTTCTCAAAAAGTACTAAAAGTAGTAAAAAGTAGTGTAACCTTAGATAAAAACAAAAAACAAAACAACCACCACAAATTAAAGTTTGCTCTCTTTTTCTGCACTTCTCATACGTCAGCGCGAAGGAATTCGATACACTTTTAAGGATAATAAGTTGTTACGTTAAGTTTTTCACCCTGCCAACATGTAGACTTCACTTGGCTCGCTGTATCCAAACACAACTCCCACGTCTGTCCCGTGTTTGCCAAGTTCGCCACATGACGTCCGCCTTAACCCTCGCAGGCTCCAAATCTGCTTTTCATCTCCGAGTGAGACGTTTTCCCCACCGACAATTGAGACGCTTTCCGATTTGCATGGCTTTACTTTGATCCCCGCTTCTTTTAGATCATCTATAACTTTTTTTTTTTTCCTCAGTCATTTCAAAGAAGTCACGGACGTCTTCTCTCTCTCTCTCTCTCTCTGGCGGGAGGCAAAGCCTCTGTGACCTTATGTTCCCTAAAGAGCTGCGAGTGTAAACGGATAATGTTGAAAGAGTAATCTCTGGGGATTTACACAATTTCTGACAGATTCTAATGGGGATACTTTCTATTTTTTCTTGTGCAAACTGCAAAGGGTACACTTCCCACCAACAGGTTGAACTGTGCGGTTTTTTAGTTCACGTTAACTTATGCTCAAACGTGAGTGTGAGGGAAAAGAAAAGTTTTTGGAAATACTGAAAAATACATACTTCTCTGCAGATCCATAAGCTTTTTTAAAATATTTTTATTAAAGCCCAATCACAAACTGGAGAAGAGGAGCAATCATTTGTTCAATCATCCACTCTTAACATGCATCTACAAATAATCTGATCAATCCAGACCAACATTCTCTTTGGTTTTGATACGTTTCGATCTCACACTTAACTTGCCTAAAGTCATTTGCAAAAGCCGTTTTGTCACAGCATGTGTCCTTACCTTCAGTTCATTGCAGAGTTTGACCTGCGCTCGGTGCAGTACGAGGTCAAATCCTCTCGCTGTCACGAGATGCGCCTCGCTGCTTCGCCTCACGACTGCATCCGCTTCAACTTCCGCTGCGACCGCGAGGCCGAGGCCTGGTCCACCGTGGTCATATCTTCACTGAGGGAGGCGCACAGAGGTCAGTTTGAACAAAACTCGTGATTTATTTATCTTTTTTTCCTCTTCTTTTCTTTATAGCCTCGACATTTCTGTTGAAGATGCTGGGAGATTACTGCAGAGCACAATTGTTCATCCCTGTTGAGCTTTATTACTTTATTACAAATAGATCTTTAAATGTGAGATGTCACAGGTAGAAATCCATGAATTAAAATATCATTGAAAATGTATTATTTAAATAAAATATTTATTGTTTTCTAAATTGATTTTTCAGCTGGTTTTATCTTTTGAAATATATCCGTCTGATTTCCTCTCAGGAACTAAATATTTTACTTGAATGACAATAAATCAGAAAACCTCTGAGTAACTGCGGCCTGAACTGTGTGTGAACCACCACATATTGAGATGTTGCACAGTGACTCCTCTCACTGCTCTCTCTTCGACAGTGGCAAACATAAACGCCTGCGAATCGGACGGGAAACACGACTCCGACGCAGCGGTGGATCAGAGGAGCTCGACCTCTCTGACGCTCTGTGGTGAGTCTGCCGCTCTGCGACACTTGCGTCCGCGCTCGCAGCCGGCTCCGGAAGCGTCACCCTGTCCTGTGATTTTCAGAGGAGCTGTGTTCGGAGCTCTCCAAAGTGATCGAGGCAGGCGACATTCAGGCTGCCTCCCAGCACGCGTCCGCACTGGCTCGACAAAAAGCGACGCTGACGATACAGCCGTCCCAGAAAAACTACACAGATGGAGAAATCAGGTCAGGATTAAAGCGGGTAGGCTGTCGACCCGGTCCGTTTCACTTATAGTTCGACTTATGCCGTGATCCGTGTTCTTTCCAGTTTATCCGTGGTGGTGGAGGACGCCTCTTCTTCTTGTTGCGTCACAGTTATAGTCTTTCCCTACATGTCTGTAGCTACACTCAAACAACAGGTGAGAAAACTGTGAGATTGGCGAAACGGGCAAA